AATAAAGCTTCAGCCTAAATGGCACAGAAGACATACACTTTCTGATTTAAACATTTTGGTAGATTTCGGGCTTTTATCCCTATCTAACCATCTGCTAATGACATAGGGGTAGAAGTCATTCTCTTACGAGGCATGCTCTACACGGCCAAAGGCTACATACCAATACCATCGTGAATCTAAGTCCTTTCACTGATCACACGGTCAGAGGTGCAGCTTTGCTACCATAAAAGCATGAAACAACAACACAAGATAATAACACGGAAAAGCACATAGCACATATAACACATAACATACAATTGTTCCTATATATTGAACTCACCGTGAATTAATTGGAGGTGAAAATAGTAATTTGGGCAGCACTTCGTTACTATAATTAACTTTCTTTGATGAAAACCGGGAGCTTTCTTGAAAACTGGGCCTTGCGAGGGTTGAGCATCAAACCGAAAGGATAAATTTATCGGGCTCTTTGGGCACTTCGGAAAATGTTTCGGGTGTTGGGTATGATCCCGGGGCTTCGGGGGATGCTAAGTAGCTTAAAAGAGGGTTTAGGAGTGAAAAAGTGTGAATTTTCTAACATTAGCCGGGACCCTCCTATTTATAGGGCGAACTTTGGACCGAGGGGGGGGGGGCACGTGGCTCGCATGCGAGGGTGCCAGGCGTTGGAAGCGAGGCGAGGACAGGTGGCTCGGTTCGGAAGCCTCCACCGCGAAGACACGCGTTGGTATCGGATTGGGCCGTACCATCGGAATGCGAGAGGTTGCGACACGCAGGTTAGACACGGGGCAACTTGAGAGGATCCGGAGGACGTGTCCGAAATTTGATCTTATCCCTGCGAGATTTCTCGGTTTTTGTGCCCCTATATTCAAAAATCCATAACTTTCGCATACGAGCTCCGTTTTTTATGTTCTTTATATGCACGTGCAGGTGAAATTATGCTCTACAACTTTCGTTTAGACTCCGTCGGCTAATTTTGACTTTATTTTTAATATTATTATTTTTAACAGACCGGGACAGCAAAATCCGTTAAAAATTCATAACTTCTTCATCCGATGTCCATTTTCATCTGTCTTTTTACCGTTGTACTACTATTGACGTGACCTTCGATTCTCGTTTAGGTTGTGTCGGCTAAAAATCACTCAATCTTTATTTCGAGTTTTTAGCTGTCTACTGCTATACCGAAACTTAGAAAAATCATAACTTCCTCATACGAAGTCACACTTGGATGTTCTTTTTATGAAAATTTTCGGTTTAACGAATACTACGACTTTCGTTTAGATCACTAAAGCTAAAAAGTAGTTTATCGAAAACTCACTTTTTACGCTAAATAGTGTTTGTCGGTTTTGTCGCGGATCTTCGATTAATCATAACTTATTCGTTATAACTCAGTTTTCGATGAGGTTTTCGCCTAAATGTTTCTAACGATATTCTTTACAACTTTCAATAATAAAATTATAATTATTTCATATTTTATATTTTCATTAAATTTCAATATTTTACTTTTGTTCGGAATCTCATAAGACTTCCAAAACATTTTGAATGATTCTAAAGATAGTTTTACTTCAATTCAAGTAAAAACTATCTGCTAGAACTCAATACTCAAATTCATATAATATTTCATAATATTATTCATTATAAAACACGATAACTGAACGTGTATGTTACAGACTATAAATGCTTCCAAGAGCTCAAAGGGACAGCTCTTATGGTCTGGAACTACCAAGACACAAGAAACCTCAAGAATGGAGTCCAAAAGTGACATAAAACACCCCAAAATCAAATCTAAGCATGCATTAGCCAAGTAGAAATCTTTATACCTCCAATGGGTCAGAAATGATGCCAAACTTCTGGATCTACAAGCCCTTTTCCAAGCTCTTGTTCCTTCTTCAAACTCCTTCTTCTTCAAAATCACCAAAGTTACACCAAAAACTCAAAGTAAGCTCCAAAATACAAACAAGAGGATTAGGATTCGAGTTGGGCACTGAGAAGGCAAGGGAGGCTGAGAGGATAAGGGCTTTGAAGATTATAAGTTGTTTAAATAGGGTGCAAACCCTAAATTTTAGGGTTTGCATCTGCCCACTCTACGCCCAGCGTATGCTTGGGTACGCCCAGCGTACGCTTGGGTCTCCCCCGATCTGCACCTCATATGTGTACGTCGTGCGTACACCTTGTACGCCCATCGTACGCTTTGCCCCAAAATTCCCAATGCTTAATAATTAAAATTGAATAAAAGCAATACAATGCCTGGTAAATACTAGGTGTTACACACAACTGCCAATATTATCCTTTAGGCGCAACTTCCAGGTTTATGATGTTCTCTATTAGGCGCAGCTGCCGATATTTTGCTTTAAGCGTAGCTGCTAGGATGTCTAGAGTACATCGTAGTTCAAAAACATCTACAGGTTGTGGCGCAGCTGCCAATGTTCAACAATAGGGCACTAATTCCATAGATGCCAATGTTCATTTATATCATCTTTCATCTCTCATCATTCATCTACCCATCTTCACCCAATAATTTTATAGGTATAAAATACAAATATACAGTTTAAATCGAATAAAACATGTATGTTTTGTTCATCCAACATAGATATCAAGAACAAAGATTATATACACACATAACACATAATTTATATTAAATACTTCATATCTATGTGTAAGATGAAAGTAACTATGCACTCACTTGTTAAAGTGATGACTCGAAATTCGAACAACGTTTCGCTTCTAACAATCGTCTTTTCTTTCGACGAAACCTAACATTATTATTGCTAAGTTTTAGTCTAATATTTGTTACGACTAATTAACACAAGGTCTACGAGCGTTATGGTTTTATAAGTTTTAAACAATACTTTTCAACAACTATGTACAGACAGGTGCCATACATGAAACATCGGAGGGCATGACCATTTTGGCATTATAGTACTTTTAAAATCCAACAACCCTATGCGGCCCTTCAAACCAGATTCCCCGTACCGCGAGTAGTTAAAATATATTATAATAACACTTTGTACATTATATTTTATAATATATTTATTGTTTATAAGTTCATAATAACGATATTAAACTTAAACATAAGCTAAACTTAAAGTAGAGTAAGCATAACTCACTTACTATGAGGTTTGGCTAGGAACCGGGCTCTGCGGGGGCATAACTTCATAGCCGAAAGCTCTTCTTCTCGGAGCCTTCTAGCGCTCCGGGACTCGCCTCTTAGCACTTCGGAAGTATTCAGGGTTGGGAGGAGTTTAGAGAGAAGTTAGAGAGAGAGAGAGAGAGAGAGAGAGAGACAGACAGACAGAGAAAGGGTAAGATGTGAAGAAAATGGGAGAACCTCGCATGCTATTTATAGGATGGAAATTTGCTCAACACGGCGTGTTTGAGAGCCCTACACGGCGTGTTGGGGTGCCACATGTCACGATTTGGTGGCAAGGCGTGAGGAGGAATCAACGGTCAGGATTGTGTCACGTGTCACTCGCAGATTACTCCAAAACTAATTATCTTCTAAAATCTGTAACTTTCGCATACGAGCTTTGTTTTTGACGTTGTTTATATCCACGCATAAGTATCGACGGGATCTACAACTTTCATTTAGACTCTATTGGCTAATTTTGACTTTATTTTTAAAGTTATATTTTAATAGGCTTAGATAGATAAAGTCTATTAAATATTCATAACTTTGTCATCCAACGCCCGCTTTCGTCTGTCTTTATATCGTTCGGTTCTTATTAATGAGATCTTAAATTATCATTTAGGTTGTGTTGGCTAGAAATCGGTCGATCTAAAATTCGAATTTCGAGCTATGCACTGCTATGCTAAATCTTAGAAAAATCATAATTTCCTCATACGAAGTCAGATTTGGATGTTATTTTTATGCACGCTCTCAGTTTAACGTATACTACGACTTTCGTTTAGATGGCTAAGGCTAGAAAGTATTTTATCACAAACACATTTTTTACGATTCCCGATGTCGTGCTAGTTTTGCCGCAAAACTTCGACTGGTCATAACTTTTTCGTTATAACTTGGATTTCAGCGTTCTTTATATGTACGGAACCCTTGTGACATATACTATAACTTAGTTAATATTATTTATTCTAAATAATTTTCTATCAAAAAGTCATTTTTGACGCTTATTGTCTCTAAATCGACTAGCTCGAATCTATGGGTCTTACAATACCGGAGGACGTATATGCACCTCATTCATAAAAAAATAAAAATAAAATAATGAATAATAAAATAAAATAAAATAAAATGCCTATTAAATGATATGACACTATATTTCATGAGGCCACTTGCAATAATTATTATTGATTAATATTTCTTTTATGACAATAAACATATGAAACAACAATCATTGTGTATCATTACATGGATACAGAACCAACAAATAAAAGAGTAATATATTCTTTCATGGTTTTTCCAGGAAAGGTGAACCCATCATCATATCTATACACAACATCTATCATTCTTGCAAGGTTCAGAATTGGCGCGAGCAAATCCATCGAGACTTCTCTTGGCTTGAGACATCCCTCGTTTATATCTTTCCATGCGTTTTCAATCATTATCTTGAGCTCATCAATAGCTTCCTTCTCTGACACGCCGTATGTCTTGATATATGCATCAACTCCAGTAGCTGATTGTCCTCTTTCACGCTCAAACTTCAAATAGAAAATATGCACAGTTAATTAGACATTATGTTTACGCCTCCTATAGATGGAGTTCCCTATGTTGCATTAAAGTTATGTTGAAGAACCTGCAAAATACCAACATTTTATGCAATATGGGGAATTTACCTGGTAAGTCATGACATCATCTTGGAGTCTTGAGATTAACTCGGAAGCTTGTAGAGTCTTTGGATGACTTTCGTACCAAGCCAATGCATTTTCACTAACTATCTCGCCCATACCCACTAAAGCAGATTTCGAAATAACATTGTAGGCTGAAGTGATTAACCCATTCTTCATGTACTCAGGAAATGATGCCACATATCCACTGTTTGTCCACTCGGCTTCTTCAAGGTAGCCTCTAGCAATGTCTTGGAACTGGAGACAGAATAACAAAAACTAAAATTAGTACTTATAGACAGTATAATGCTGAAATTTGCATTTGACACAATGGATAATTAGATCATACCGCTTCTTTTGAAGCAATAACACTATTTGCTCTTCCTTCTTTAGCTAGTTGTTTCTCAAGCTCAGCATACTCATCTAGGAGAATTTTGTAGAATGGTCTAATGTATTCCGGAATTTGCTCCATAGCACTCATGTCCCACCTGAAATCAAATATGTGTTAATATCAAAATATCATCGAACATTAATCAAATTTATTAGTTAATTCTTTAGAGAAACAGCGGTTATCAATATATTATTGTGTTTTTGCGTATCATCAGCATATATTATTTTATCTGTATACTGACAAAAACAAATGAGAAAGCTTATATGTTTGTTACCTATTTATGGCATCGGTTAAAAGGCGAATTTCTTCAATGGTAGCGTAAGCGTCATATGTATCATCTAGCACCACAAGAAACAATGTAATTTTTGTGGCGATGATTCGTGCCAAGGAGTAACGAGGCTCAAAGTACAATCCCAATATCCATAAGTAAATCTCTGGTACTCTATCCCTTATATAAGGAGTAGTTTCCTGGAACCTCATATCCTTCCACCACCTGAAACCATGTATAAAAAAGTTAGGTTGTTTCTCTTTCACTTTGGGCTAACTGAAGGAAGTAGGCACGCTTTGTTTTAAAATGTTCTTTATCATAAATGATTGATCTTTACACTGCGCTTCAAAGATTGCCTATATTTTATTACATCTCCGAAAATTAAGTTTTTTTATTAATAATTATAATATATGAACTATATTTGCAACATGTAGCTTTCTTATTTGATTGGATGATAACTTACTTTGAGACAATGCGAAGTTCTTCCTTTTGCTGTAGCTCCAAATAGCTGAAATGCAGCTTTGCAAGCTTTAATAAAGACTCATGTGTGGCACACTCTTCACTATAGTTAGAGAAATATAGCCTTGCCTCCACCATTGGCATCCCTTGATGAAATGGTCTCCTCAATGATTGTAACACCTGTTGTGCAAGCTTTCCTTCAAGATTGTTTACTACACTCTTGAGTTGAGTTTCAGTGAACACTGAAGCCTCATCTAGTATCGATTCTCCTCTTGTTCTCAGTTGTGCAGATTCATATAAACCTAGCATGCCCTTCACATCCGTAGAAATGTCTTCCTTGAAAGCGCCCGAGGTACTGTCTTTGAATTTGTTAAACACATCTGCACAATCGCATATGATTAAATATTACAGCAGCCTCCAAAACATTCTAAAACTGTCTTGATAACTAACAAAAGTGCTCAGAAGGTGAAAGTGAAATGGTTGCAGAGTTAGTAAATCTTTTGTCACCTTTCTATGGTGTGTCAAAAAGGAGTAATTAATATATTATGAGAAGTACTCTATATAATCGTTAGCAATTTAAATTGAATGGTAAGGACGCTTACCACAAGGCAGTTTATAACCAAGGTGTCGGAAAACTTGAAAGTTGATAGAAGTTGTGTACAGTTCAACTTCATCATAATCTTGCAAGTTGAACTCTTTGAAAATTTTGTCTAGCTGGGCTTCAATTTCTTGCAAGAACAGATATGTCAAACCAAGACGGTGCACGGAATAAATCAAACTTAGTTTCTTATTTGAATCCATTGTTTGATCTACAATCAATCTTCTCAATTCTTCTTTTGGGGCTTCCATGGCTTTTGCATATCCTTCGAGTTCCTACAAAAGAAGAAAAAGTTAAAAAAAAAAAACATACTAGCTAAAGCAATGCTTTCTCGGAAAACTGAATCCAAAATCTATGGGAAAGCTTACCGAATTGTCAAGAGTGAATGATAGGAAGCGATCACCCCATACAGAAGGAGGGAAGTGTGCTAAAGGACGCACTGGCTCTGCGGTGGTCTTTTCTTGGATAGTAGCATTAGTTTCAACTGCTGCCATTTCTTAAAATTGAAATTGGGTTTGTGATTTGTGAAGCCTCAGGTTTTGTGAAATGGTGATTGGTTGATGGTTTGTGGATTACCGAAGCAATGTTATCGGTTCTTATATAAGACCATGCACCCTAGTTGGAAATGAGTACGAAAGTGGTCTTTGGTAGTAAAGGTCAACATAGCACCACTCTTGCAGTGGAAATGGTACAACAAAAACTCCCACATGATTCCGATCTATTATTTTTTAATTGTTAAGTGCCGTAAGGCGTAAACACATGTATGGCCAGCCTGCTTTTACCAATTTGCCCATACATAATATTATTTTTAACACCAACAACATAATATCCAATATATTAAAAAAAACAATTAAAAAGATATTTACTTAAGAAATCCGTGGAAGAAGGGTTGTAAAGAAATACGAATAACAATTTGTTTATGTTAGAATCTTTTAAGTTAAGTTCAGGGCCTTTTCTAGCATATCTATGGTCCCGGACATAAGTGAAAATGAGACCTTCAAATTTTTAAAAGTTAGGGATGTTTCTTTGAATAGATTAATTAAATAAATTCAAATTGATTTGGAATTTCAATATATAGATTTGTCTTTCACAATTAATTCAATTTTATATGAATAATCAAACTACACTTCTGTCGGATTGGTTTTTATAGCTTTTTGTTGTCTTAGCAGAAGCCAAACATTTTAGAAAATATATAATTTTTTTTTGGAACGGCGGAATAATATAAAACTAGCAAGAAGCTAGAAAGAGAATTACATCAAAATAGTAGCAAAAAGCCAGAAATAGGATTATGAAGCAAGACGACCAACTAATTTTGGCTTTACTACACCTACTAGAATAGAAAATATATAATTTAAATATTAGTCAATTTTATAAAAAATAAAAACAAATTATTTGGTTATAGGTTAAAATTTAAAAACAACTATTAAGAAAAATATATTTTAGTTTAGTATTATTCGTACAAAAACTATTGAAAATAAGCACATATATAAGAGAAATTTAATGGGTGAATCTATTTAAAAAAACATATTTAATTAATTAATATATATATAATTTAAAATATATATTAAAAAAATAATAATAAATAAATAAACAATAATTTCGTATTATGCTCTTATTTTATAAACCAGAGAAAATTTAAACCATAATAATAACTTTGTTTATCTAAACACCAATCTAAAAATCTGTGAACGATATAATAAATCTAATTGTTTAATTCGATTCTATAACAATCCTAACAAAGTTCATATGATCATTAATATTGTAATTAATTTTAAAAAAAAAATATTATTATTATTATGAAGACAAGAGGTTATGATCAGATACCTACGTTTTTAAGCCACATATTATAAAATTATGAAAAAATTTGATATTAGCCCAACGAACTTGTCACATTTTGTTTAAAAGATCATCCAAATTATTTATTAGTACATTATGAGAATGAAGTCACATTTGACCGTTTTAAAATGTCCTTATGTGAACCGGATTAATAGGTATAATAGGTTCCACGAAAGAAAGGACGACGCCATGTCATTTAATGAATTGGCCACGTCTATTACCTTTTATTTGAATTTTTGTAAATAAGTTGATTTTCTTCTTTACTCCCCTCGTCCTCATTCAAGAAAAACCCTTTCTCCTACCAAAGTGATGAGTTTTGAGCATAACAACATTCCTATGTGTTCAGGCAACCCTAATTGCTTTGGATCTAAGTTTTTGTCTAGTTATAAATGCAAATAGAAGTTCCAAAGCAATGACCCTAATACCATAATACAATTTCCGAAATCAATATGAAAACTAGGGTTAGAATGTTACCTTGCTTGCTATTTCGTAATAACAAGTGTTCCACGGATAATCTTGACTCTTGAAAGCTTTAGTGTCTCACGTGTTGCACCTCTAATGGAATCACAAACACCAAAAGCAAAGGATGAGTGAGAGAGGGGCAGAAAATCGGCTAGGGTTTCTTCTTAGGAAGCAGTGGCCAAGATTAGGAGGTCAAGGGGCCTTTATATAACTGTGGCTGCTAGGGTTTCCATGTGAAACCTTAATTCCTTGCTTAGGCTCCAAGCAGCCCATTGACATCCCTTCTGGAAGGCCTTGGACGATTTCTATAGGGCCTCCCTATAGAAATTCGTCCACCCATTCCAAGGGAGTCCAACAGCCCAATTTGCAATTATCAATGATTTGCAAAACTAGTCCCCTTACTTTTAATCAGTTCCTTTAATCCCAAACTAATACCAAATTAATTTTTGATTAAATACTAATTAAATAATATGATTTCTATTTAATGTATTATTCTTATAATATATTATTATATCATTAAATAACCTCTCTCTCCAAAAGTCATCCTGTCAAATACATACCAATTATAGTACATACCAATTATAGTTGTGGACTTAGACACCTAATTCAACAATCTACCACTTGGATAAGTCTAATAACTAAAATTGCAAGTATGAATTCAGAATTTGATTAGCAATCGTAGCTTTCAAAAGCCGTTGTCGAACTCTGACCTAGTCAATGACGCGTCCTTTATATAAGGGATCATATAATCCTCAGTTCTGCAAGATATCGTGTGGACAAAGACATGAAACATAATCATTCTCAATGTCCAACAGTTTGTTTCCCGATTTCTGATTTATTTGATAATGAACTTAATTGAACACATCAATTCAGTCCTGACCGGGCCCAGCACATAAGTCAACACAAAATCATCGAGGGGCCCAAGATATCGCTTTTCCCTTAGGCAAAAGGAACAGATAAACTTTGACTTATATGCTTGTACTATTTACTCATCAAATCGTACACAATAATACGTTTTATAACATCAAGTTACTGATGCGTTTACGCATTATCAATGCACAACCAACTCGTAAACAACAACTCATATATTTCAGTTTAAAGATTATACGATATTATCGTGTTGGGTCAAAAATATGGTTTATACTTTACCTTTCTAGGAAAATATATTTTTCTGTAATGTAATATATATTTGCGGCTCTGTTCACAGCCAAGTGAGTGTTTACGGCCGTAAACCAGTTGTAACATCCCAATTTTCAAGGCTAAAAATTTCATTTTTAATTAAGTAATCATGTGAAATCATTTATCAAACATTGTTGGTATTGTATTAATTCATAAAACCATTACGTCGTGTCTCAAAAACATATCATCAGGTAATAGTAATAATCAGAGTACAATCCCAGAAAACTCAATGCGGAAATCATGCGTGAGTGTGATGTGCCGCTATCGCGCCGGCTCCTTCCCCTTCGCTGAAGAGGTAGCTGAAACAAAACTGAAAACTGTAAGCATGAAGCTTAGTGAGTTCCCACATCATACCACATACCATACAAACACATAACATACATACTGCCAGGCATATCTGGGTGCCCGACTTACCCCTTCGGTCCTCTCGACCGGTGACTTTGCCTAGCATATCTGGGTGCTGGCCTACCCCTTCGGTCCTCTCGACCGGTGACCTTGCCTAGCATATGTGGGTGCTGGCCTACCCCTTCGGCCCTCTCGACCGGTCTATCACATACAGTTACGTAATTATAATCTAACTTAACTGGGTACTAAACTACCCCTTCGGCCCTATCGGCCGATAACTTGGGGACTATCTCCCCCCTACTACTACCATTATCACGTAACATCATATCAGGCTAGCACGTAAAACATAACAGGTAGTAGCAAACCTAGATGAATATCACAAAGACAATCATCTAACATACAACTCCTACTGGTGGGTCGGCATTGTGGCCGTAGACCCACCGCTACTGGAAGGTAACTCACCTCGATGTTGTGTAGTGCCGGAACTATCCTCTCCGTGAAGGTCGGCTCTCCTCGACCCCTCAATCCTACATGATAACCTTCAAGCCATCAAACCGAACATACAACCCTAACCAGGGTCAATACCAAAACCAGGCAAAGTCAACATTGGTCAAAGTCAACACCCAGTTGACCTGACTCGCCGAGTTGGTCTACTAACTCGTCAATTCCATGCTCTACTAACCCGATCCAACCCCGACTCCACTCGTAGAGTCTAGCAAGAACTCGACGGGTTCTCCTTTATTCAAACCATCGGGACCATCTTCATCCGACTCGCCGAGTTCATCCTTGAACTCGTCGAGTTCATCTCCCTCATAAGAATGTGTCCAGTCTATGACTCGCCGAGTTGTATGAACAACTCGTCGAGTCCATCTTCAAAGATTGGGAGATTTCATTGGACTCGCTGAGTCTGTTCATACACTCGTTGAGTCCTATGATTCCCACGTCCCTTTACGCGTCTAAACAACTAAAGGACTTTCTCCCTAACAACTGGTCCATCCACAGAAAGGATTTGGTGGTCAATACACCGCGACTCGTCGAGTTCCAAGAACAACTCGTCGAGTCCATCCTTGGCCAACACTGTCCATTCGATTTAAATGGGTCTTAACACACCAAAACCATAGATCATGCCTCCTAATGTCCATTTTACATGTAAAGTTCCAAACTTGGTACACATGCAAGGGGTCTTTGGCCCAAAAAGCCATAAAAGATGGCCTCCAAAGTGCATGGGGGTGTTCATGGCAACAATATAGGCACCTTTGTGCAATAAAACCCCCCAATAGAACTGGATCTAAAGCACACACTGACTTCCAACACTAAATCCCGAATACAACCTTTCTAGGGCTTAGAAATATGAAGGAAAAGGCCCAAAAATCAAGATCTATAGACAAAGGTTCAGCTTCATACCTTCAATAAGCTGAAAACGAGCTTCAAACTCTGGATCTTCTTGTTTCCCCTTGGTCTCACAAGTTCCTTCCCTCTTCTCAAGCTTCACAACCCACCAAAAAGCACCAAAATGGCCTTAGAACACTAAAAAACGGCTAGGGTTTCGCTAAGATGTCTTCTGGGAGTACAAGGGACGATGGAGGCTGAGATAAGGTGTTTAAATAGGGTGCAAACCCTCAAATTTAGGGTTTCACTCAAACAGTGCCTACTCGCCGAGTCGGTCTCCCGACTCGTCGAGTAGGTCGCTTAAACTCCCGCGGATCACGACTCTACTCGACGAGTTGGGCCTCCAACTCGTCGAGTCCCAGAGAAAACACATAAATTTCTTTAATTAAATACGTA